TGAGAGTAGAGTGGACATGTCAACTGGCTCTCAGGAATCCTGCAGCCAAGCACGGGGGTTGGGGTGGAGTGCTTGGTCTCATTTTGGTGGAGGAAGGGGTGATAGAGGGGTGTTGTTGACTGGTGTGTGTGTGTGTGTGTGTGTGTGTGTGTGATTGAAATGCGGTGGCAGGAAATTTGCTCTGGAGGGGAGGAATGAGGGAGGGGCTGACAAGGCTTGGCTGCTCCAAGAGCACACACGCTCACACATCCACTCATACACATACTCATAGGGATCAGAAACACTCCAGACAGCGATATCACCTCTCTGCCATCCCTCCTTGTTGGTTGGACCTTGAAAATTTGGGATAGCCAAATGAGCTGCTCCCCAGCTGCAGAGTGAGAGCCGTGCCTTTTGGACTCCCCCTCACCACAGCAGACTTTTAAAACGTTGGGAGATTTCTTCCTAACTGAGTTGAATCTGGATCTGATTAGAGCGTGGATCCGTTGAGCCTGATGCTGCAAACATGTAGCCAGAGCTGAAGCTGTGCATGACGAGGGACCCTGGGAGCGAATGAGAGCTTTCTGTGGAGGTGGAAAGAAAGATGCTTTTTCTGAGGGTAAGAGAAAAATACACGTCCACCTCCAAAAACCTGGAAATGCAGAAGGATTATGTTGACTGAAGAACACTTCTGCAGCACTGCTATAGAAAAATTCTTGTACCTAAGTTCCCCCATCCTTTAGTTCTGTTGATGGAGAGGCATGCAATTGACTGTGGGAGGGTTTTCAGTTAAAATGTTTAAAAATAGCTGAAAAGAATGAATGGCTAAGCTTACCTGAAGATTAATATGTGGTGTCTGAGATACTGCATGTGTGTATTGCTCTATCTGTGATGGGTATATCTCTTTCTTGCATGTTGCGTTTGTGCGCATTGATTGCGGTGAGGTGATTGTGTGTGAGTAGGTGGCCTCACTCCAGCTGTGTTAAGTCTTCTGTGCACTCCCTAACACCCACTCTGCCTTAAAATAACACTCTGCACTAGTCAGAGTGATGACCTCAACCTTTGAACCTATAATAAATCCCATGACATTTAGAAAACAGTTTTTCATTCCAACAAGTACTCAATATTTCCAAATTAGTCCTTTGAATTATCTGCGGGTAACTAAAGCTGTAGGCTAACTAAATGAGGAGGTATTCCCTTAGTTCACCCAGGGTTGGGTTATTTTCTGAAAATAACACATTTGACTAATTCCTCAGGTGAAGGAGAGTCCTTTTAAAAGTGTCAGTTAAGCTGGGGAGGTGCACACAGTTAACTGTTAGCTACATCTGGCCCTTGTTTACACAGACCCAGTGTTGTGACTCTTTAAATGCCCTTTTCAAATAAGTTTCCCTTTTTAACCCCATCTGTCTCAACCTGTCATGTCTTCACTGTAGCTGAAATGTAGAGGAGCAATAGGTGGACATTTTGGTTTTGTTTTTGACAAAGACAGCCATTGTGTTATTGCCAAGAGGTGACATGGTGAAATGTGAGTTGCTGTGTATGTTGGCTTAGGAATCTGCACTACTTTTTCATGTAACTTGTGGGATGAGAGGCAGGAAAACTGAAGGGCAGAGGAGGAAAAACAGATACTATACAGTTAACTGACTATTTTGACAATTACTTAATCATTTTAGTCATTTAACAACCAGATGTGAATGATTAGTTTCTTTTAGCTTCTTTAAAAGGAGGATTTGCTGCTTTATTTTGTCATATGATAGGAAACTGAATATTTTTGCAGTTTTTGACTGTTAGTTGGAGAAAACAAGAAATTATAATAGGTCACTTTACACTCTTGGAGATGTTAATAAGCATTTTTCTCTAATTTCAGATTTCAGACAAACTGATAAATCCAGATGAAAGTGCTCATTAGATAATTAGACCTTTTTTCACAAGGTATCTAGATGTTTTAGGAGCATTCGTTTTCAAACATAAAATGGGACAAATAATATGCTAGCAGTATCAGTCTGGTCACAGATATTTTGTAAAATGTGATATTGGCAGTGACACTATATTTTTACATATGTCGAAACCCTTTCAACAGCATGTGTCCATTACCAAATGTCATGTATTAATTTTGCTGTACCATATCTACACTCACACTGCTCACACTTTCAGCTAAAACAGAAGCAATGACCCTTTACTGCTAAAGTCTAAGCAGCACAAAGTCTTCCAAACCATAGTGCCATTGATAATTAGGACACACAACAAGCTTGGGGAAAAAGAGACTGAATCTAATTGCACTACTTACTGGTTTTAGCTAGGTTAGGTGAGATAAACCAGATCAGGTCAGGAAAAGCTTGAGTGATAGCATTATCTATCCTACCATAAATCTGATAGATTAGTCACTAAAGAACAAAGCAACACTCAAAGATCCTTTTGTCCTGTGATAAGAGCTTTGGTTTGACTTTTAAAAACAGCACTTCTAATCTGTAAATTCAACGTTGTGAAGTCCCAGGCTTTATTCAACTGTATGCTAGGTGGAATATTAATATTTCTCCTTTCTTGTTACTGGGGTATGACAACATGGTAAGTTGTAGGAAGCCTTGAGGGTGAGCAGAGAAGACATGATATTTCTACTAGAGAGGAGGGGATTTTCTTTACTTTTTTCCAAGACCCAATTTATATGTTGTTTTCCTCTTTCCTTACAAAATTTAGTGTTAAAAACATTGAATAGTTACAAAAAAGTAATGTGAAAACGCACCTATTGCTTGTTCTCTGACAGTGGTAATAAACAGAACACACCATCTGTTATGTTTACCATAACTTTTAAAATTATAAATCCACTTTTAGTGAGAGATTTAGGCTATGTAAAAATTTGCTTAAAATCAGTATTAAAAATTTGGGGTAGGAGAGGGTCAAAACCAAATATTAGTAATCCTGGGGAGGGTCATGCTTTTTTCTTTTTTTTAAAGTCATAAAAAAAGTTAACACCTCTCCCTACCTCAATAACCTTTATAAAAACCCTAAGTAAGGGTAGGGTAAGACTTTATTGATCCCAAAATGGGGAAATTCCAGTGTTCCAGCAGCATTACAGAGCAAACAACAAAAAACCACAAGAACAACAAAACACCATAGGGACCTCCAAGAAGCAAATCAAAGGCCCCTAAAAACAAGACAAAACAAAGCACTTGAGAGAAATCAAGAACAAGAATATTACTTCCACAATTAATTCCACAATGGGGAAAAACTCTGTATATCAACAGCAGTAGAGACTAAACAACAGACACCATAAGAACAGCAGGCAACACAAGGATCTCTGAAAAACAAATCAAGAATACCCCAAAACAAGACAGTACATTAACTGGCTATCACCTGGCATAAGAATTGCTCTGAAAGAATTCACTAACTGCTCTACAGTTCTAGTTAACAGGGGCTGTTAGAAAACAATGTCATTGATAGTTCTGCTTTTGTGTAAAACATCAAACCTGCATACAGTTTCTCACACAGTTTTTACCCAAATAAGGTGTAGTCTGGTCCAGATTTGCATGTCAAAGAGCCAGGGCTGAGCATGGCAAATCACAAGCTGCTTCTTCAACACCTCGAGACAAAAGCGCCATTATCAAACTGAAATGGCTTTGAAGAACATGGCTAGTGCTGAGACAAGAGGGCTGCTGCTGAAGGCGCTAGACACATAGCCATTAGACAGATTAGTCCCCATTCATGGAACAGTGCCTATAAAAAGTATTCACCCCCTTGGATGTTTTACCCTTTTATTAATTTTATAAATCAATTATGGTAAATATAATTTGGCTTTTTTGACAAAAAAAAGCTCTTTAATATCAAAGTGAAAACAGGTTTCTACAAAGTAATGTCAATTAAATAAAAATATGTAAGGGGAAATAAGTGATTGCATAAATCTTCACCCCCTTCAAGTCAGTATTTAGTAGATGCACCTTTGGCTACAATCACAGCACTGAGTCTGTGTGGATAGGTCTGAGTCAGGCTTGCACATCTGGACACTGCATTTTTACTCCATTCTTCTTTGCAAAACTGCTAAAGCTCTGACAGGTTGTGCAGGGATCGGGTGTGAACAGCCCTTTTCAAGTCCAGCCACAAATTTTCTATTGGATTGAAGTCTAGGCTTTGACTTGGCCTCTCCAGAACATTCACCTTGTTGTCTTTAAACCATTTCTGTGCAGTTTTCGCTGCGTGCTTTGGGTCATTGTCTTGCTGGAAAATAAATCTTCTCCCAAGCTGTAGTTCTCTTGCAGACTGAATAAGGATTTTGCCATATTTTGCCGCATTAATTTTACCCTTTACCTTTACAAATTTCCAGGGCAGACTGCTGAGAAGCATCCCCACTGCATGATGCTGCCACCACAGTGCGTTTGCTTCACAGTGGGAATGGTGTGTTTGTGGTTATGTGCAGTGTTTGGTGTCCGCCAAACATAACGTTCTTCTCTGATGGCCAAAAAGCACCATTTTGGTCTCAGGCCAAAGAACTTTGTTCCACTTGACCATGGAGTCTCCCGCATGCCTTTTGGTGAACTTTAGTCAATATTTAATATGAGTTGTCTTCAACAGTGGTTTTCTCTTTGCTGCTCTCCCATAAAGCTTTGACTGGTGAAGAACCCAGGCAACAGCTGCAGAGTCTCCCCATCTCAGCTGCTGAAGCTTGTAACTCCTTCAGAGTAGTCATAGGTGTGTTGGTGGCCTCTCTTACTAGTCTCCTTCTTGCATGGTCACTCAGTTTGTGAGGGCGGCCTCATCCAGGCAGATTTAGACATGCGCCATATTCCTTCTATTTCTTGATGATGGATTTAACTGAACTCCAGGGGATGTTCAGTGCTTGGAAATTTTTTGTATCAATCCCCTGACTTATACTTATCAATAACCTTTTGTTTGAGTTTCTTGGAGTGTTCTTTTATCTTCATGTTGTAATGGTAGCCAGGAATACTGATTAACCAGTGACTGGACCTTCCAGACACAGGTGTCTTTATACTACAATCACTTGAGACACCTTCACTGCACTCTGGTGATCCCCATTTCACTAATTGTGAGACTACTAGCACCAGTTGGCTGGAGCTCTATTTAATTACATCTGTCATTTTAAAGGGGTGAATATTTATGCAATCATTGATTTCCCATTACATATTTTTATTTAATTGACATTGCTTTGTAGAAATTTGTTTTCACTGTGACAGTTTTTTTTTTGTCAAAAAAGCCAAATTATATTGACCATGACTGATTTATAAAATCACTGTATTTATAAAAGCACTGTATCTGCCTGTAAAGACAAGGGAAAAAAGCTGTTTGAAATGCTGAAAGTAAAGAAGTTCTTTTAGTTTTTAGCCAGAAATAAAAGTCAGACCTTGGTCATAATTAAGAAAAAGTATCAAGCAAACAGAATAGGGATAGGAAAATAAAAAAAAGATTAGAAAATAAAAGAAAGAAACATAAGTCCTGTTAAAGTGATTCCTAAATCCTGCCTTTTTGTTCACAGCACCCGTGTACAATGAACCTGGAGTGCAGTGCGCGAGGAGAACATCCTCCTCTTCAAGGCTCAGACATGGAGGCTCGTGCTGGCGGAAAGATGGGGAAGATATCAGTGGGCTTCCAGAGGAGCTCCACCTCAGATGACGACTCTGGCTGTGCATTGGAGGAGTACACATGGGTGCCACAGGGACTCAGGCCTGAGCAGGTTCGGACCACATCCTGTTCCACTTTACCTTTAAATGTACTTGACTGACAATTTCAGTTTATTAAAACCTATTCTTCTTACTTTGTTCTTGTAGTTTGTTTTTTCCCTTATATGAGTAGGGAAATCCAATTTAAGGTGGTGGACACAGCAAAGATAAAACACTGATTACCAAATAACTTGTGGGTGAAGCTGACAGCTTGTTGGAAAATATAGAGGTTGAATTTTCTTTCAGAGGAAGAGAGTTTAAACCATGGGCTTTTACTCCAAATGTGTGCAGACCTTTTTTTTCTGTGGTATGTTAGTGGACTAGTAGTGTCACACACTGAAGCCCAACATTTAGCTATGGATTTTCACATTCACTGGTGTATATTTAAGATAGACATATTCAATTCATCTCAGTTAGAAAAGCCTCTTCCCATGTATTTTTGTGGAAATGCACACAGACAAACAAAATTATGTCCATGTTTCCATTTCTCCTGTGAGGAAAAATTAGCCCAGGCACGCATTAACATTCCTGGTCCTTTGCTGTCACTTGTGTGAGAAAAGAGTTCACAGCCAGGTACCTGTGATTGGATAGAGGTTGACATGTTTGCCCTACAATGTCACAAAATAAGGGCACACATAACAGCAGTCATTCCCCAGTGACATCATCCTCTTCACACCTATGCTTTCCCTTCCTCCTCTTGGTCGTGACATCTCTCATGCATTTATGTGGTCTCAATGACCACACTACAAAAAGAAAATGACATTATAGAGTCTTTAAAACTTAAAATGTTAAATCATAAGTTTGTCACCATCTTGTTTCCTCCACAAACACAAATGGACTGGCAAGATGCAGTTTCTTTTTGTCTTTCAAAATTCATTCATCAATCTCCATTCGCAGGTCCAGATGTACTTCTCCTGTCTACCAGAGGACAAGGTGCCATATGTCAATAGCCCCGGGGAGAAGCACAGGATCCAACAGCTCCTCTACCAGCTGCCGCCACATGACAATGAGGTAAAGAGAGAGACACTGAAAGGATGTGTGATAATAAGGAAAGGAACTGTCTAGAAAGGGAACAGTAGCTCTTCCCTTTCTAGATGTGAAAAAGGTGGATTTTTGGATAACTCTCATGCAGTTAAGATAAAGGCAGCAATACATGTTTTTTAAACTTACTGTTAAGTCTCATCAAATAGTAGAAACATCACTCCCATTCAAGTAGCTCCAAGGTCAGTAAATCCAACCGGTGGTCACTGCATCTTCCCCGACACAACCACATACAGTCCCAAAATAGTGAAATCAATTCCAATGGGTAGTGTAGCATTGACAATAATATTATGGGTCATTAGAATCCTCTCGTTAACTGGCAACACATCACATGCTGCAGACACACTTGCCTCATACAGTCAAAACAAACAGGTACTGTGCTCCGGGGCAATCCAACGTTGATCATCCACTGCCATGGGAGGCTTCACTGGCCAGCTGCTTATAGGTTAGACCCAGTCAGATAAAACCCTGTACATGAACATTCCCGGACATGCAGTAACCTCAGGCCCTGTATTTTTCTCCACATCCTCTGGTCACAGTGCAGCAGCAGAAGGGAAAATATATCCACAGAACCACGTGCTGTCAAAAATTCTGCTTTTAAAATGGCACCAGTGGATGTGGGGTAAACTCACATGAAGCTCACAACTGTCTGGCGATTATGACCATTCAAAGAAATCCTAAAGCTATCACATAATACTTTATATTATTAGACAAAAAGCTCTTTACCCTAAGCTTAAAAAAGGAAACAGTACACATGAAATAAACAGTTCCTGTCATGGCCAACTAAATGCTCATTCTGAGAATCTTTAGGCTTGTCAAATGAATTATTCTCCAAGTTTAGTTAAAGTCCATTTAGCAGCCCCAGTGGTACTGTGTAAGGCAAGGAAAACCAACAACAGACCACAATCCACTGACTGTCATTCACAAAAGTTTTAACCCAGTTAACTCATTCTTTCAGGTCATAATCTAAAAGATGAGTTTTAGAGGTAACAGAGCAGACAAAAAAACAAGTGAGAGGAAAGAAAGTGTTTTGCAGCCACTGTGGCATTAAGTGGTAACTATGAAGTTGGTAAATGGTCAAACTTTGTGTAACAGTGGCACATAAAGTCAGCAAACCGACTGCTCAGTGACTGTTGTGCAGCAACATTTACCTATACAATTAGCTATTATCAGGTAACATTAAGTTAACATTAAGTTCCATAATTAAATAACAATTATGCTGTTTTTCAACAATTTAAATTTAGGCAGCTTGTTTATGTCTACTTGTGTTTTGTCAACAGTCAACATTTGACAGGTCTTCTTTTGTTAAATGAAATTAATGTAGAAAAAATGTTTATATCCCTCAAAGCAAGATGTTGAAATAAGTGCAGTTTTGGATTCTCTTTTGGAAACTCTTAAATTGTATTAGCAGTAAGAAATAAACAATACCCAGCTATAATGAAACTAAAGACAAAAGCTGAGTAAAGCCCAGACAATCTTCCTAGCCATTTCTAGTAAAACTACAATGGCCACATTCCCTAAACTGTTTGACAAAAACCCTCCTGTGACAGTAAAGCACATACCAGCCTCTTCTGTATAATGGTTTTATGGTGTGTAAACCAGCACTCCTTTCACATCTGTGTTAATAGAGTTTACATTAGAATAAGGTTATCACTAGATAGGAGGGAAGGGGGGCTATTGTCTGACAGAGGTTACCTCTGTATACACACATGAAAACACTCAACACACACACAGTTTATGACTGAGTGGTTTTATGATGTTTGTTAGCAGATCTGGTGGTTGAGGAGGCAGACTCTGAGAGGATTCATTGCAAAACTGTGGTCAGACAGGATAAGCGCTCAGGGTGTGTAAAAGGGAGACACAGTATGTGTATGTGTGTATGTGTGTATGCGTGAGCTCACATGTCAGCATCATTTACTGTTGTTTAGAGAACAACTAAGCTGGTGGTTAGGATAGCCTTGGTCTTTTATCTGGAGCCTTCATCACCATCTCTAAACACAGAGGAAGGGTTTGTGTATTGCTCATGCCATCCTTTCAATGTAGCCTTGAAAGGAATTAGCTCTAATTAAACCCTTTAACAGCTATATATGGCTACACTACCCCAAAGCTGCATGCAGAGGATGAATGCCCAGCAACCAACTTTAATGGCTGGATGTTCTATTTGGCTTTTTTCTCTGGGGCTTCCCTTTTTAGCCATAAAATTACGTCTCCATCCTATTCTTTTGTCATCTCTCTCTTTTTTTTTTTTTTGACCAGGTGCGTTATTGCCACACTCTCACTGAGGAGGAGAAAAGGGAGCTGCATATATTCAGTGCCCAGAGGAAGAGGGAGGCATTGGGGAGAGGAACACCAAAAATCCTGCCCCAAGCTTTGCAGCATACCCGCTGTGAAAATGTAGGTGCCTCACATGAACACATAAACACATGCATATGTGCACATGAAGACCATTTTCTTGATTTAGTGTGCCACAAGGTGAAGTAGGAAACCAATTGGTGGGTTTTAAGTTACTTCTATTACAAATGGCTAATACCCACTTTCCCAATCCAACATATGGCAGCCCTAGGCCCAATCCTGATTGGCTAATGTGGTGGTTTTAATCACATACATAAAGTTCCTCATTAGGGTGAGAAAGGAAAAGGGGAAATTGAAAGGTTCACGCTCAAGCAGAGAAGCCAGTTCCTCACAAGGAACTCGGCCATTTCCTTTCACTGATCTATATCTCAGCATGACAGAGTGTAAAAAAGTACAGGTTAATAAGTGATTCTTACCTAGAGATTTAATATCCCACTTATTCCAAACAAATCACAATATGTGGTAGGTACTTCCACTTCGATTGTAATTATATGCAGCTCATTTTAAGACTTTCTCTGGAAACGGGGAACCAAGTTTCTGCAGACAAAACAATGTTCTTTGAAATGCATGCTATAATTTCAGCATTTTTCCATGGAATTTTGCACATCTGGGAAAAGGCTCACCTAGGCTCCAGATCTTTTGATATTTTGATTAATGTCATAATAAGCTATGAATAAAGACAACACTGAAATCATAAAATGTGGCTTTTCTTTGTCTGTTCTGGTTGATGGTGTTTTAAACAAAGCATCCGGTGCCATTCAGGTTGTCTTTGATCATATTTTTGAAAAGCATCCTTTCAATGCAGCAAAAATAAATATTAGTGTTAATGTGGTTTCTGGTAAACTGAGCCCTGACCACAGTGTAAACCACATCCTCTGTCAGGCATCCAGGAAGAGCAGGCTAGCCATGTTTAATTTCCCCTGACAGGCACAGGAAGTCTGTCACCATTCAAACAATGACACTAACACAGAGATGCAAGATCATGCTT